AATTAACAGTTAAATTTGATGCCTATATGCAATGTTCAGGCCTTAAGGGTTCATGACAGAGACAGCAACAATATTACCCGCGTTGCCTATTTTGAAAACCACCCCAAAACATGGTGTGTAAAAGTCAACCGTAGCTAATCTAAGAAAGTAATCGAAATTTTGAGCAAGAGGTTCGAAATAACTGAACTTTGATAAAAAATAAAATATGAAAGATTGTACAGGCCTAGGCAAAGCCTTGACCCAGGGCTGAGCCCAGGGATGTGACTTTCACACTGGGAAAGCTCACTCTATTTATAACAAGGTGGCAAATGAGAAAGATTTCTTCCCATCCTACAAGGAAACTGCCATTCACATTATCTTTGTTCATATTTTCACCACTAACACATGGAGATCGATATTGCTTTCCGATATATTTAATACATAGTTCAATCTCAAGTAAAATTACAGACAATTTATTTATCGACTGAACTACACACACGTCTAGCTTCCACGGTATGTTGTGAATGAGAAAGGCGACAGCAGCAGAGGAACATGAAAATGTTCCAATTTCTGTGACTCTCTGATCTCAAACACGATAGAAACATAAGGGAAGAACCCGCCTGGGCAGAACTTACCTGTGTTAAAGTTTATCTTGTATATGCCTGGGTTCACTACATCAACGATGCTCATCAATTGACCACTTCGCCCATCATTATCTGTAGTCGAAGACCCTTGAAATACCCAACCACCTGCATTTGACTCGCCAAACACCGGACGAGGTTGAACACCCTTCCACATTTCTAAACACACTTCAATTCCAGCACCTGGAGATCCTCGAGAAACATCCAAGACATGGGTTGTGATGGGTGGACGGGTTCGAGTTGGAGCTTGAGAAGTTTTTACTGATGAAGCTTCAGAAGCAGTAGCAGTTAGATGCCCTCCAATAATGCTCACACGATCTTCTAGGGTTCGTAAAATTAATATAAAAAAAAATTAGAAATAGTAGCAAATGCAAAGGAAAGAGAAGTGACTTCCTCTGGAGAGAAGAGTCATCCATGAGTTATAAACATTGTCAGACAAGCAAAGCCCAGAGCTGCATAAGCATTAAGCGGACTAAAACTCACAATTTTGAGAAGGATCTGGAATAGAAATTTACAATACCTTCCGCTTTCTTTGCAACAATTGTAGGATTCTTGTTGCCTGTGGAAGTAACATTTTCTTTTGCTGCAAACAGCTTCGCAAGGCGTAGCTCAGTTATTTTCATCTGCTCCTGAGCTGCAATCTCGAACTCAACTATTGGCCTGTTTGGATATCGTTTCTGCAAAGAGGAAAAGTACATCTATTAATTTGAGTAACAATTTATGCAGAATCTGTAGAGCATGGTCCTCGCAGAAGTGGTATCCTTCTCCTCACTCAACAGGCATCACAACATAAACATCAGCGGAAGTTCTGGTGAACATCTCATGTGGTCTATACATTTCCTTTATAAGCTGCAAGAAAAATATTTGCTTACACATAATAAAGATTAAGGACAATAACTACTTCTCTTCAAGCTTGGTCATTGTTTACTCAATCGCAAATGCTAATATAAGAACTATGTTAGTCAACGTATGCTTTAGGGTGACTTCTAAACTGCAGGCTATCTCCTGTCTTTTGTACACACTTTCTATGGAGTGGAACACATTCTTTATTTATTTCTTCATTGCCGGAAAACATTAAAATTTTGGCTTAAGCTCTTCGTAGAGGCAAAACTGAGCTGGTTTACCCCACCATCCTGTGCTAAATTATTGGTTGCCAAACATTGTTTTCTGGGAAAAATAGCGAGGCTAAAGTTCTTTAAAAGTATTTTTAATCGCTTTGTTTTTTTGGAGCGAATTGGTGGGAAAGGAATAATCGAATCTCCCAAGATAAAAATGGGGCGCAAGTGCCAATATAGAGGTCAGAGTGAGGTTTTAGCCATCTTTCTGGGCCTCAATAACCGGTAGAGACACTTGTTATATTCCAACAAACTACTATTGTCCTTGATAGTTCATCTATAAGAGAGTGATTTTTGTAAATTATTGACTTTGATTGTTTGATTTATTAGTCTTTGTTTCCCATGAAAAATGTTAATTAAGCCAGAATATGCAAACCAAAAGTTATCGAGTAAACAAATTCGTTCTGCATTGAGTTTAAAGAAACTTCTATTAATGAAAACGCTTAAACTGAAATTCTCAAAATGAAATAGTTTCAGTACGTTGAATCCATTGACTTAAACGCTAGTATATCTCTGCAAGCTATTCTATAATTCTCATCAGGGTCACATATATAATCTTTTAACATTTGGAAATTTTAACAAAAAAAGGGACTGAAAGTGAAAATCTACCTTCAACTCAGCAAGTATCCCATCAGAACTCTTTCCAGATGCACAAATAAGAAATACAAAACCAAACTTCTGCCTGTATTTAGCATTCCATTCAGCCAGTTCCTACAAAAGCCAGGTGGATAATATTTAAGTAAAAGAAAAAATACTCTGATCATAACTTTCACATAAACAAACAGAAATTGAAATATCAAACTATTTTTAATCCTTTCACTTCTGCAAACTAAAACAGGATGAAATAGAGGGAAACCTTGAATATGTTTGGTTTCATTTGAAGGGGGAATTACGACTTCAAAGATATGCATAAAGTATCTGAAGCATACTAACCTGCAAGCTAGAACTAGTGGCAGTTGCTACAGCAGTTGCCTGCTCTCCCTTACTCCACCTACAAATGAATGCTTCATCACTTACTTCAATATCATTGCATTTGCATATCTAAAATGACTAATGGAGAAAGAAAGGCGATTAATTAGCATCAACTAGCCCACAAAGAACAAGGGCACTCCACTCGTATTTGTCGCTAATGTTTTTTGGACTCGGTAAGGAGCTAGTAAAACGTCAAGCGGTCCAGCAAAAGATTTAAACTTTAAAGGCCTTATCTTGATGGTAAATAACACTAAGCTCAAAAACCACAAGGCTTATTACTCAGCACTCAAATATTGAAGGCAACCTATTTGTTTAGCACATTCAAACGTAAACTAACGATAGAATAGCATTACAATTAACTGAATACGAAAAATTAATCAAGAATTAGAATCTAAATCGAGACGGGAAGGAAAAAAAAAAAGAGCAAACCCATTGATGACATGAATCAACTCCATACGCCAATACCCAGGATGCTTTTTGATGAGCCAAAATCCAATTGGGCATCTTTTGGAAGATTCAAAATTTCCAATTTTTATTGTAATTAGGTTTAATTAAACACTAAAATTTACGCTAACAACAATCCATCTGATCATCGATGGTGTGAAAATTCAAGTAATTTAATTCAATTATGCCGATTTCCTTCATGGGTTGTCAAGATTTGAGTAAAAATTTGTGAATTATCAACAAAAACGGCAATTAAATAAGAAAAGTGAGATTAAGAACCGAACTGAGCAGAGGTGGAGTGAGAAGAAGGCGAAGGCGAGTTTCCGATCTGAGGATGAGCCGAGAACGATTGGAGCCAGCCATTGACATCGACCTTGTTGAACCAGATGTCTCTGGCGGCAGTCACAGCTTCGTCGAGAGATGAGAAAGGTGACGCCTCCGCCATTTCTTTGGCGAATTTGGTGCTTGCGCAGCAAGCTAAGAACTCCTCCTCAAATTTCAATCCCATTTCTCCTTTTCTTCAAAAGATGAGAAATTGAAAACTCTCTCTGATACTACGAGACTGGGTTCTGGGCAGCACAACAAACAGTTGCGTTTGAATAGAAAATGGCTTACTTTTAGCCATATGCCAAAGTAATGGAGTAAATTTCACTTTAAACCCTGGACTTTATTTTGTTTCCACTTATGTCATGTACGTTACTTCATCTTTTCAATTTGGTTGAGATAAGCGTAAATTTTTTTTCTTCTTAACCAACCATGAGCTGGTGGCTCAGTAGTAAATGATGGATTGCGAGATTTCTTTCAAACTAAAAACTGAAGGTCTTGGGTTCGAAACCCGTTGCTGGTCAGGGAGAGGCTAAATGTGAGTCTTCTCGGGCCTAAAAATGGGTGGATAACCGTGGCTTGCCATCAATTGTCCTATTTTAAGAAGAAAAATAGATAAGGGTAAATTGAATCACATGCAATTAGCAACCATAAAATTGAATTTTTTCAATGATTAGTCATGGTGAGAGTAGATTAATGAATTTTACCTCGAGTTGTAAATGAAAGGAGGCGTTGGAGAACAAACGAGGCTTCGGAAAAATTAAATGGGGCAATAACTAAAGAGGATTGTTATCGGCAATCGAAAAATCTCATTTTGCATTCTATATTTTCTATAATTAAAAAAAAAAATACATTTGTGCCTCCCCCTCTTTTGGGGCACACAAAGTATCCCACTTGAACCAATGAGTACGACATCCGTCATTAGCTCCATTCCACCACAACGCCGTTATCATTCAATTAAGGTTGTCACAAAAGGTCTTGGGCACAAGAAAACACCCCTACAGTATACATTAAGGAGCCGCCCTTTTGAGCGTTTAAGGCATTTCCATTGACATTCTTTGGTGTGCCCGAAACAAGTGTGTTGTTGCAACCCACCAGCATAAGGAGCCCCGGATATCTTTTGTGACTGTCAGCACCGAGTCACATCATCCTGTTTTGGCCTCTTGACGTTTCTTCTTAAGCCCTCTCATACGACCTCAAAATTCTCATAATCGCAAGCAAATAGAAGGTGGCTAATTGAAATTCGTTTTTTTTCTTAACAAACGATATTATCTACATTAAGGAACCTTACAAAGTGCTAGCAATAATGTGATTCAAATTCGTTTTTGCCGAAAATCAAATCGAAAACATTTCATTTACAAATAAAAAAAAAATACTATTAAACCGTAATACTAAATGGCGAGGTGATAACATTTAAATTGCTCACGCAATCCTAATCATTTCCGCTACGTAAGTTGAATACTAGAGGATGTTTAAAGTGGACTAGAGTCCGAGGCTGCTATTGCCAAATCCAAATGGTTTGCGTCAGCACTCTAACTAGTGGACCCAACCAATTTTTGGACCGGTAAAAAGACCCAGCAATCTGTCCCGCCATATTCAGCTGAAACCAGTATCCAAAAGCTTCAGGCGTGCGCCTGTCTCGGTCGTTTCAGACTTTCAGTGCGTTTCCAGTACTACCATGGCTTCTTCTATTACCTCTATCCCGCACGAAGGAGATTCGGTGAACCAATTTTCTATTCCATTCATACCCTTTACTATACATATATACATATATGTGTATCTGTATATATTTCTTCTGTTTTAATTCAATCCATATTATTTTCTGTTTGGCTACTGGGAAAATTAGGAATGGAGCATCGGACATCTTAAAATTTGTATTTCTAATGGTTAAATTCCAATTTTGATTGTTTTCCTGAATTGGGTCGGAAATTGTTATTGTAGAAATGTGGATTATGTGAGAAATATAGTACGCTTTATTTCAATTCTTGCCTAATATTTGTCTGAAGTCTTATGTTTTGTTCATGTTATCTGATAGGTTCTGGTACAGAAGAATTTGATTGCGAGGACATTGACATTGAACCGGCCTCGGCAGTTGAATGCCCTTAACTTTGATATGGTATCGCCCTATCATGTACATGTACTTTATTGCTTTTGTTGATAGTTTGAGAGCTTACTCTTTTTCCCGTTTTCATCTTGTGTCTATGTTTTACGATTTATATTTCGTGTCTGTATTATTTTTTATTTGTAACTCCACTTCTATAATTCAAGTTCTGAAATAGATTATACAATTTCAAGGATAAAATTTAAAAGAATGTATACCTCCTCAAACTATTTTTTCTAATTTTTATTTTTATTTTTTTAACAAAAAAGAAGGTATATACTGTTTTAAGAATCATATCAGCCCTTGAAGGTCCCGAGAGGCATCATGTTGAAATCAAAGGTGGAAATGGTTATGGTACAAAAGTATAAGAGGAATGTGGTCTTTCCAAAGTACAAAAGTACGCAGAAATCAAGCAGTAATTCAAGAAATTTTTTGGTCTTCAGACATTCTTTATTCTGAGTCTTTTGTTGCCTGCTTCATCTTTTAATCGACCGTTAGATGATTAAATTAATCTGCGTAAAGCTATGTCATGCTTTTTCATGCAGTGATATTATCTCCATGGCTACAAGGTGTGGTTAATATAGGTCTTGGTGAAACAAGAAAATAATGGTTCTCATTTCTAGTTTTTTTTTTTATTGTTTTTTGGTAGATTTCTCGTCTGTTGGAGCATTTTCTTGCCTTTGAGGATGATGCTAATGTCAAGTTGGTAATTGTCAAGGTACTCTTCTTCCATACTCTAGTTTTATGTATTATATTTAAACTTTCTCAATGAGAAACAAGAAAGAAGAATGTTGATGCACAAAATCAGTGAGGATTTTGGTACAACAGAAAGTGTTAAGTTTGTGACCTTGGCTAGATGACTCCGATCACTAGTGTGGATATGTATGTAAATGGATAGGGACAGGGAAGCAAACACAAGATGTACGTGGTTCACCCAGATTGGCTACGTCCACGGAGTAAAGGAGTTCTCATTAATTGTAAAGGGTTTACACAAGTATATAAGTTCAAGCTCTCCTTTAGTGAGTACTAATGAATGATTTAGTACAAATGACATTAGGAAATATTGCAGGAGAATGATCTCCTTTTATAGAAGAAAGTTTCTAGCTTTGTTTTGACATTGACATGTGTCGTGTTGTGATTGGCTTCTGATGTTAACACGTGTCGCGCTATGATTGGTTTCTGATGTCGACACGTGTCGCACTGTGATTGGCCTCCTGGTTGGAAGAAAACTCTTCTGGGTCATTGATGGTATAACGTTGACCGGTGCTCAGTAGTTTCAGGATTGGTCAAGTATGGTACAAACAAAGAATATTGTCTTAGAATGAATTACTAGCCATATGCAGTTGATCTTTAATTTGGGATATTTGATGTTGGTTAATGTCTAAGCATTTAAGTTATCACTCTTTTTCACAGACCTATGTTGTGTGCTTACATTTTCTTTTGAGTTTTGTATATAAATATTAGCACCAAAGTCTTTGGCTTGATGTTGTGAACCTACAATCCTGTTAAGATGTAAGCTCGTCTTTAGATTCTGTTCGATTTTCTCCAAGAAAGAGGATTTTAAGTTTATTGGGAGTGCATGTTTCATACCACTTGCAGCCCCACTTAAAAATTCAGCCTGATCATTTTGCTTATAAATGGTTGAGAGCATAGAAGTTTTACAGTCTCTTGGCTTTAAACCAATACCAACTTGGTATTCTTTTTCATTTTCGGCCGGTTTTAGTTTGCTTGCGTAGTGGCAATCCAAAAGGATGGGGATTTGACCTGAAAACATAATTTATTTTGGTGTATAATGTATCGTGATGGATAGAGGCTGTGCTTTTATCCACTAAAGCTTTGATTGAATTAATAATTGAATGATCATACTCCTGTATTCAGCAAGACAGTGAAAGTAAAACATTATGACATGTGTATGATCTGTTTATGTTTTTCTAGGGGAAAGGAAGAGCCTTTTGTGCTGGTGGAGATGTAGCGGCTGTGGTTCGTCAGATTAATGAAGGCACAACTGCTTTTTTTTCATCTGTCTTTTCTTTTTCTATTTTTATTGAGCATATTTACTGATCATTAACATCACGCAATGAGCAATAGCTTCAGTTTAGGTGGACACCTAACTGTTATTAAATTTTCCATTTCCCGTTCTGCTTAGCTGTGTGAAAATGTTGAGTATCTATTTGTAAGATGCAGTAAATTACTTTCAACCTGATATCACCCTGTTGCATTATAACTTAGGAAATTGGAGATTAGCTGCTTATTTTTTTCAAAAGGAGTATACCTTGAATTATTTGCTGGCAACATACAGTAAACCCCAGGTGACCCAGTTCCTTTGTTAAGTGCTGTTTTCATATTAATATTTATTCAGTTCTGGTATCAGAGGTATTATTTCTTAATCAATTTAGCTTTATTTAAAAAAATATGTTTTTCTTACTGTTAGCATGACATCATTGAAGGTTTCAATTCTGGACGGGATTGTCATGGGAGGTGGGGCTGGTGCTTCAATACATGGAAGATTCCGTGTTGCAACTGAGAATTCGGTATGTCTCACTTTATCTAAGGTCTGAAGTTAGGAGTAATTTTGGTTGCATCCTTTTGATTTGAACTATTTAATCTTTTTGTTTTCTCTATTTTCCCTCTTTGTTTTAAACTATGGGAAGTTAACTTCTCTTATATTATCACAGTAGGATAAGACTGAATTACACGTGAAAATTCTGAGTGCACTATATGGAAAATTTCAATGCTCTATCTGTAAGCATTGCAGTTAATTGTCCATTGTGAGATGCTAGTTATTTTGTCACTTTAATATCTTGAAAATAATCTCATTACTTTTTGTTGTACATCAATAATAATTTTGTTGCTTTATATGGACCCAATGTTTCTGTGAATACATTGAAAATCTTTAAGTATGAGTTAACCCGATCAAGGAATGAAGACATAACCTTTCTAGGACTTAAAGAATATAAAACACGTTTTCTGTTTCATGGCCAAAGTCCATGGGCTTTGAGATAATATAGTCTATAAGGCGTATGCTGAAATTGTGTCAAAAAATATTGATGACATATATTGCACGTATCAGAGATTAAAATGTAGCATTTCTTTATATTTATGGATGGCTAAGATTTTCTGAGCTAAATGGGGAACTTGTAAAGAACAAGCATGCAAGGAAGGTACATAAGTTCCCATTATAAAAGCGCCAAGGTGATGCATGAATTCCCAAGCTATGTGTACGATTTGAGATTATGGTTTGACCTTTGTATTGGGAAAGAAGAGGAGGGATCTGTTGTTTTCTAAAGTAAAAGCAAGAAATCTGCAGACTGTGTTATTTGTTGCTACGCTGTTGGTATCCCACCGAATGGTCCAGATCTTTTACTGCATTTGGGGAGGCAATTGCAAAGATATCTGTCTTTTTAGTAGCAACGTAATCCCTTGTATTTCTTATGAATCCTTTGCAGGTTTTTGCAATGCCAGAAACTGCTTTGGGACTTTTTCCGGATGTAGGTGCCTCTTATTACTTGTCCAGGCTTCCTGGATTCTTCGGTAATTTCTGTAATGTCTCTGGTTTACATGTTTGTTTGACTGCAATAAATAATTTTTTTTTTCCTGTACTGTCTTTTGTATGAAGGGTAAAGTGGGAAGTATTGCATGTGCTCAATCTTATTTACTATCTTTGTTCTCAATTATTGATTGCCCCTTCTCCCCTATGTGCATTGCAGGAGAATATGTTGGTCTTACAGGTACCAGATTGGATGGTGCTGAAATGCTTGCTTGCAGTCTTGCAACACACTTTGTTCCATCAACGGTGTGTTATCTCTAATTATCGTCATATTTTATCTATTCCAATGGTCCTAATTGAAACTTAACAAGAAGAAGATGACCTGATTGGCTAAGGAGTTATGCTGGTTAAGAATCATAACAAGTAGCAGCATGTTATTCCTTCCGTTTGAAACTTGAGTGCTTGTGGTTGGTTTATTGACAGAGATTGTCTTTGTTAGAAGAAGCTTTATACAAAGTTGATTCAAGTGATTTTGCCATTATTCAAGCAGTCATAGATAAATACTCTCACAGTCCAGCTCTGAAGAAGAAAAGTGCGTACTACCGGTTAGTATTTCTGTTCCTTTTTTCTTTAACTATTTTTTCTAGGATGTTTTTCTTTTCTTTTTTTTTCTTTTAACGGACTGCAATTCTCATGCACAAGTCGCTTTGAACTTTCCATTAATGGAATTCACTGTTCTGCGTGATCTTATTTTTCTTCCAATGGATTATCAAGTGGAACTCACAAGATTTTATAACCATTTGGATCACCACAGTGGAAGCATGAACACCATAAAACTTTGGACACCAACTACATTCCTCAGTATATTCGTTATTTTAATGGTTGAAGCACATCTAACAGTTACAATGTCTAAGTTGCTACACACTTAGAAGTTTCTAGATGTAAAATTGGTCAAGTTTAACAAATCCGTTGCGTAGTCCAGAAATTGATGTGTCTATTAGTTCAACTAGACCCATCATTTGTTGAACTGGTTATATATTCTCAAAATGAAAACCTGGGAATATGTTTTTTTGTAATTTTCAGCTGTTTTGAATACAGGATGGATGTTATAGACAAGTGCTTTTCTAGAAGAACTGTAGAAGAAATTGTATCTGCCCTTGTAAGTTGATTTGAATTTAAAATATTGGAAGGCTTGGTTTGATGTTCTCTGCGTTCTGGATCTTTGGAAAGTTTATTACTCTTTTGGCTTGGTACTTAATTAGTTTATGTTTAGTGTTCAACTTGTAGATTAAGCATGTATACTTTACTTGACGATACCTATGATTTGTATTAAAGGAGGATGAGGAGGCTCCAAACGGAGTGGATGCTTGGCTAACTTCAACAATTCAAGCTTTAAAGAAGGCATCACCAATGAGTTTGAAGATTTCTTTGAGATCGGTATTTCTACTGCAGGCCTTAAAATTGCAGTTGGTTAATTGTAGCATATCAAAATTACTTATCATTAGTTTGTGTAGAACTGGTATGATGCTAGATTGTTTTTTTACTCCTTATACAGGGCAAGAAAAAGATTGCTTGTTATGCACAGGGCAGATGGTATAGGGTTCCATAAGTATATTCTAAAAAAATGAATTCCCTCTTCGTCCATAAATTGTTTTTATAACAAAACTAAAATTTGTTAAGCAGCTTACATTGGACAAAGTTGAAGGGAGTAAAGTGGAATTCACTATAGTAAGGTGAAATAAAAAGTTATCGCTCACATATGATGGTTCTGAAAGGCAAATATTTCTTTTTATTTTCTCTTAGCACAAAATGAGGCATTGTATACCACACAAATATCACCTAAAGCTTGGAATTGAAGTTTCATAATACGCTGAGGACAAACATTAAGACACTTTGCGTTGTATGAGATTGAATTGGAAATTTTTTGGGCTTGGTATTTATGTGTTCCTTTCGGCTTTAGATTAGAGAAGGAAGACTTCAGGGAGTTGGTCAGTGCCTTGTTCGTGAATATAGAATGGTTTCACATGTTGTGAAAGGAGAAGTCAGCAAGGACTTCAGAGAGGTTAGCTTGTTCAAGTAGTGTATCCACATTGTTTTTGTTTTCTCGGGTGACTCAAGCCTTGCTTCTAATTGCAGGGTTGCAGAGCTTTATTGCTGGACAAGGATAAGAACCCAAAGGTAAATGACATTTTATTACTTTTCTCTTGATAGATCATCTGCCCAAGCAATCAACATATACTGAAGCTGTATAATCATCTAATTATAATCAACAAAAGTATTTAAACATTCTAAATTGACTTATTTTCTGTTAACCTTTACTGGGAACCTAAAACATGAAACATTTAAATATATGTACGACATTGATGGTTGTGCTACGACAAAGTGGCCCTTGTCTTAGAATGAGGGTATTCTTGCTTTTGCTCATCCTGACTTTTTCATGTTCGGACAAATAATTTTTGCCCTAATGCCAACGGGACAAACAATTTTGGGTGTAGAATCCCTGTTATGTGCTTACTCATCACACGCGCGCACACACACACACATATCTGGCTGTGTATATATGTCTTTATCATACAAATATGTGTGTATTTTGCGCTTTAATTTTCTTTGGATTCTTCTCTTGGTTCGTCATGCAGTGGGAGCCTTCCAAATTGGAGCTCGTCACAAACCATATGGTTGAGCAATACTTCTCTAAGTTGGATGATGAAGGATGGGAAGAATTAAAGCTCCTTGTAAGATCAAATTTGCCTGCAACTGCCATTGCCAAGCTTTGAGTACTCCGCCGTTTCTACCTACTCAGACCTTGTAACTTGTCAAGGCCATTTAGTTTAAGTTCGCACTTCAGCAGGTACATATAAAAACACCGCCCAAGTTCATGGTAATAAAACCGAATGGCTCGGTAGTAGGCATTTCTTGTTTCAGCCAAATGATATAAATCTGTATACTCATGGTTAAAGCCTATGAACACAAATCTGCACAATGTAGGGAAATTTTATTTGGACCCAATAAACTTATTTCTACACCCATTAAATTTTTGTTAAATTTTATATTTCAATTATGCCCTAAAGAAAATATGGGTGTAGAAAGATATTATCAACTGGCGAAAATTCCAGCCACAATTGGCTACCGGAAATTGGAAAATGGATTGCCGGAGGGTGGAGAAGAACAGCAAAAATATAGTGGAGGGTGGTTGTGGTCTTCAACGACATCAAGAGAATGTGTCGCCATAAAAGCTAATAAAATCTCATCAAACCCTAATTTATCTCGTTCATAACCTCCATGGCCAAGGTTGAAGGATCCAAGGATTGTGCGTGCGTCCCGAGCTTTTGGAGGAAAGGACAGGCATAGCAAGGTTTGCACCATAAGAGGGCTTCGAGATCGGCGGGTGAGGCTATCGGTACCCACTGCAATCCAATTGTATGATCTTCAAGAAAGGCTTGGTCTTAACCAGCCTAGCAAGGTTGTCGATTGGTTGCTTGATGACGACCATAATCAAGTCCGGTTGTTGCCAGGGTAGGTGGTTGGTGGGTTTATGTGTGTAATTTTTTCAAGTTTGTAAATTTTGTATTTGAGGGTAAAATGGTAAGTTTGTGGGACAAAATTTCTAAGTTGGGTGTGGAAAGAGGATTAATGGGTTTAAATAAAATTTCCCCACAATGTATCAAGTGAGGCATTCATTTGTCGATATTAATGTTCTTCTTTTATCATCTTTCTGCACGTTTGAATTTGGCAACTGAGATTGAACTTGCTGAGTATTGCAACCGGTAATGCTGATATGCATATTGTACTGGAATGCCTTTCAGTAGTTGAACACAAATGAACAACTTGTTGGTATCATAGTCTGGTTTCACCGTTCAACTACACAAAGAGAGAATATAAAACAGCAGTTCACTTCGTAGGAACTTTATAATTTTTGAGTGTCAATGCATTGGTTTTGACTTGTGTTTTCCCTAAAGCCCGGTTGTTGCCTCCTTCTCTCTTTTATTATTTATACTACATATATTTACACCAAGAAGTGGAAGATAAATTTGTATCGAACTTATTACCCACAAAATTCAAACCTACAATATATATAATTTTATACCAAGTGAGGATATATCATTTTTATACCAATTGAGGAAGGAACATGAGGTACAAAGGTACAAACATGAATGCTCTTACCAAGTAAGCTACAAACTTCTCAAAAAGGTATAAAGTATTATTATTTGTTTTTTTTAAATTTTTTTTCAACTGAACACTCAAATTCATTGGAAATCCCAAAGTCTAAAAACCGAAATTTGAAACTCAAATTTGGGTCTTAACTTCACCAGAGACTTATATTACTGTTTTAAAAATTCCCACTTAATGCCACTTAGGAGTTAAGTTGCTGGCCACCGCGTCGATTAATCCCTTAGCATTTGAAAATTAAGAAAGATCGCCTAGACTGCCTAGACTTAGACATACAATCAATAACTTTCATTTTGCATTTTTTTTCTTCAATAAAATGTAAGAGACTTGTTGAATACTTGGATGAACACACATTATATGTTTGTTTCCCAAGTTTTCACAATGTTCTAATACTATATAATCTATATGTCATTTTATTTCGCAATTTATGTATCCCCCTACAATTATGTATTTTTAAAGTATAAATATGCACTTATTTTATATGATATATAACAAATTTACTTAAATCCTCTTAGTCCACCTAGGCCCCGCCTGGCAGCTTATGCGCTAGGCCACATCTTATCGACCGACTACTGCTTAGCGTTGTTTAGAACCTTACTTATGTATGAGTTTTAAGTCTCTGGTTTAAGGGCAAGTTTGCTTCATTGGATTATACCAAGTGCTGGCTAGCGGGCTCGGTTTCGTGACTCGGCCTCAGTGTGTTTCTTGAGTTGTAGCTCATCGTCTTTAGTGTTGCCTATTTTCTCTTTATTGGGTATCTTGCCACTTTTTATTGGGCTCCATCCCTTATTCCAGTGTTTTGGAGTTGTTGATCGATGGGTGGCTTAAGGTTAATATTGATGGTTCTTGTGCCAACAGACGTGCTGGATTTGGGGGTCCTTTCGCTCTTCGGAGGGTGGGGTACTTGGTGGTTCTGCTTCAAATACGAATTTTGTAAGTTCAATTGCAGCAGAAACTCTTGCCTTTATTGAGGCTGTGCGTATAACTTGGGTCAGAGACTGGAAACATATATGGATTGAAACTGATTCTATGTTGGCTATTCTTTATTTTTTTCAAGGCTCCTAATGTGGTCCCTTGGTTCCTTATCGTGGATTGGAAGAATTGTTTATCTCGACTTTGTAGAATGCAGTTTTTATGTACACATATTTATTGAGAAGAAAATTAGGTTGCTGACTCTTTAGCTTCATTTAGAGCAGATAATTATGCTTATCGTTGATGGACTATGGTTCCGGTTCACAGGTAAATGCCACAACCATGCATGTCAAATTTCCGTCCATAGGTAGACAGGTAGTTGTATTAAATGCATGTAAGTACTAGGTTAAATTATTGAGTTTGACAACAAAACTAAATATGTTTTAGAACTAGAAAAATTCGTATTGAACGTTTTAAAAATCTAAATACAAGAGTACAATAATGCAAATAGACAAAGAAACAATACACAGACCAATGCGGTTCAGTTATTGCGATTTTGAATTGGTTTCGGTTTGAAACTGGACCGCAATATGAAAAAATGGTTTGGTTTTGATTTTTGAAACACAAACCAATGTGGTTCGGTTATTGTGATTTTGAATTGGTCTGAACCGCAATATGAAAAAATGATTTGGTTTTGATTTTTGTACATCTAAAACTGCATTGAAATCGAACCGCACCAAAAAAAATAATCGTCCAAGCACCAAAAAATTAAGTATATATTTAATTTAATACCAATAATAGGTAACTTATATTGTAGGCTTTCTTTGTTTTATTTTTTCAATGTGTTTTGTTACTTTTGTACACTTTTTAAAGTTTATAACAACTGATAGTGTAATTTATATTGTTTATGTATTTGTACTGCGTAAAGCTGGTCAATTTGAATTCAAGTATCACCTCTCTTACTATTAATCCACAACCACAACAAAAAGCTCTATGGCAATTTCAACCTTCTAGTTCACAAGGTTTAATGACTTCTCATACATCGGTTTCACTTTCACAAGATTCAAGGTCTTTCTAAGTATTGCCTTCTCAAGCCCGTTCACAAGCTCAAAAGCCTCTTCAACCTTTGAAGAGTAAGTGTCCAAAAGTAAAGGGAAAGAAAAAGGGTTGAACGATGCAAAGTAGTGATTTGAAAGTTGAAGCATAAAAACCTTTTTATTGAATTGCATTAACAATTTATTTTTTCGGGCTGTATTAATGCCATAGGGCATTTTGATATTGAAGCTTGTTTGAACCTTAGTTTTAATATGGTAAATTTAAGTTTTTCAATTGGGTTGTACTGAAGTAATGCCATAAGGCATTTTGATGTGAAACTTTATTTCCAGTTGAATTTTAATACAGTGATCGTGAATTTTCTTAATTGGGTTGTTAAGCATTTCATTTACAAATGGTTTGAAACTGAAACTAAAACAGTTTGAAACTAAACCGAACCACAACAAATGATTTGGTTCCATTTCATTTCAAACTTCAAAACTGCATCGGGTCACACTGCAAAAAAAAAAAAAAGGATTCAATTTTTATTTTTATCCAGAACCACATTGAACCAAAACAAACAACGCCTAAAACAAAAACACAAGCAAGACCTATAGGGTCTTGGGTCGTGGACCACGCCGTCACTGATTAGACATGCTACAATTTTATTTAGTTATAGCGTTCGCCTACAAAATAAAATGGAGGTAGATTGTCTGCCCCTGTTTGAGTATTTTTTCCATCCCTTTCTATTTGTATGGTTACGATTAAATCATATTAATTTTTTTATAGAAATAATAAGATAAAAAATAATAAGAATATAAAATATTGACATGACCGCACAAATAAGAGGGAATGAAAATGACTTCCAAACAGAACGGCAGACAATCTGCCTCTAAATAAAATTTCAGTATGACTGTAACGCAACCTAGAAACACGGCTAGAGACAATCTTATACTACAACCAACGATCCTATAGAACTTTTAGAAAGAAAGATCCGACGGGTACAAGGATTTCACCATCTTTCCAAATCACCACCAAACAATGATATTTTTGTTTTATTTTATTTTATATTTATATGGAGAATTGTTATCTAACTATAACAGTATGTTTGGATGAGGGAAATAAACTTGAAATTTGAATTAAAGACAAAATTTATAAATTGACATGCATCAATTCCCTTGTTTGGATTTATAAACATAAAAATTTTGAATTTCCGCATGGAAAAAAACTTGGAATTTGGGACCTCTAATTCCCAAATTTAAATTCCATGTAAATAGATGTCATTTTCCAATTTCTATGATTGAGAGTTTAAAAACAACAAATTCCGTATTCAATTCCATTGTTCTTTTAGGTTGCCCAAACAATAAAATTCACAAATTATATGGAATAAAATTCCATCATTTTAAAATTTCTTAGTAATCTTAAATTTCTTTATCCAAACATAGTGTAAGTTTCTTTTGTCTCTACCTCTTTTTATATTTTGAGGCCAAATGCTCATTTGGCTCTACGTTTAACCAACAAAGATTGACGCAGTTGATTGGAACAACCAACAGTGCATCTCAAATCACAATTTGATAATTACATGTTTTATTATAAATTCCACTTAAAGTTCAAAAATCATTTCTTTAATTATGTCTAATAAACGATATAATATTTACAAAGTTGGAATTTAAACATTGGAATCATTTACATCACGATAATCTCACAACAATGAAGTTGCACAACCATAATGCGTCTGTTTGGGCCATAAAAAAAATAAGGTCAGCTGTGGGGCTAAACTATTTTTATTTACGCCAAAGTAGCATGACACCATTAACTTTGAAGCTTAATTGGGGATAGGAACGATCACTTCACTCCATCCCAACTCGTTCGATGGCTCGGACATGATTTTTATCAAGGTGCGTCTGTCAAGCAGACGAA